AAGAGAACCTCCCACCGAAGATAAAGTGGTCTAGGTGAACATGGGCGACGAAGCGAATCCGAAGCCCATATTCGTCAGCGACAACCTCTCACCAGAAGAGAAGGAGGAGTTGATTGCCCTCATCAGGGAGTACATCGATGTCTTTGCCTGGAATTACAAAGATATGCCAGGACTTGACCCAAACGTGGTGATGCACCGCCTTAACATCAAACCAGATGTTAAACTTGTCAAGCAACAACAAAGACGGTTTTTTCCGCAGATTATAGAGGCAATCTAAACTAAAGTCAAAAAGTTAATTGATTCAGGCTTCATTTGGGAAGAGCAACATCCTGATTGGCTTACGAACATCGTTCTGGTTCTGAAGAAGAATGGGAAAATCAGGATCTGCATCGATTTCAGAGACCTGAACACCGCCTGCCCGACATACGACTTTCCTTTCCCTATCACGGATGTCATCATTGACAACACATGTGGATTTGAAAGAATATCCTTCATGGATGGGTTCTCAGGATACAATCAAATCAAGATGTATCCAAATGATGAAAAGCATATTGCGTTAAGAACGCACCTCGACGTCTTCTGCTACACGGTCATGCCCTTCGGCTTGAAGAACGCAGGCGTTACGTACCAACGAGTAATGACGAAGATTTTCCAAGAACACCTTTGGAAGCAGCTGTGAGTGTTACGTTGACGATTTGGTCGCTAAAAGCCGTAACAAAGACGACAACATTAAAGACTTGAGGAGGATGGTCGATCTCATGCGGAGTCACCAATTGAAGATGAACACTACCAAGTCTTTCCTCGGAATGTCCAGTGGAAAATTCCTCGGATTCGTCGTCACCACGAAGGGCATCCATATTGATCCCGACAAAGTGAAGGCGATACATGAATTGCAACCCCCGAGAAACCTCAAAGAACTCAGAGGACTATAAGGGCGACTCGCTTACATCCGATGATTCATATTGAACCTATCCGGGAAATACCAACCATTCTCAAAGCTCACAAAGAAGGGCATATCTTTTATCTGGGATGACGCCTGTCAAAAGGCATTTGAAGATATCAAAGCATATCTCTCAAATCCTCCTGTTCTCGTAGCACCAAAGTCGGGTAAACCATTCTTGATTTACATCAAGGTGATGAACCACTCGTTAAGGACTTTACTCACACAAAACGATGACAACGGTCATGAGCAGACAATATATTACCTAAGTCGAACTTTGGTGGGTGCCGAATCTCGGTACCCAATGATCAAGAAAGAATACCTCGCTTTGGTGTTCGCCATCCAAAAGATACAACACTACCTCGTTGGACAGATGATTTACGTCATCTCCAATGTTAACCCAGTCCGAGTATTCATGACGCAACCAGCCTCTATGAATGACGTTTAGCAAAACGGGTCTTGCTCTTATCCCAATACAACCTGTACTTCAAGCAACAGAAGTCGGTTAAAGGACATGCGATTTGTGATCTTCTGGTGGTTAACCCTACAACGGACATAGCCGAATTATATGAAGATTTACCGGATGAAACTCACAAAGTCAACACTACCTTGCATCATCAAGTGTGACAATTGTACTTCGACGGTGCTTCTCGAGCGACCAATGTGGCGAGTGCCCCTGGTAATTCTAAATTCTCCACGGGAGTCGGAGTTGTCCTAGTTTTCCTAGAGAAGTATGTGATACCCCGAGTCTAGTCATTAATTGGGAAATGCTCCAACAATATAGCCGAGTACAACGCGCTGCTCATTGGACTCAGTTTCGCCAAAGAGCTGGGGGTCGAGTATCTCGAAGCTTTTGGTGATTCTCAACTAATAGTCAACTAAATGCGTGGAGAGTACGAAGTCAGAAACCGGAGCTTGATTCTGTACCACAAGGCGGCCGTCAAGATGGCAGACTCGTTTGAAGGATTTTTCATCGAGTACATCCCACGTTTCCAAAATGCATATGCAGATGCACTAACGACATTAGCAGTATCTCTGGCACAGCCTCCCGAAATAGAATAATTGGTCACCGTGAGAACTCACAAACTCTTCATACCAGAGTACGCCTTGGGTGCCAAAGAAGCGCACGCAAACTCGAACCCCGAGACTAGCGTTTTCCTATTATTGATTATGTCTTGCACGGTATTTTACCAGAAGACATAAAAGAAAGAGACTCGGTCCGATGAAGAGTACCGATTATAAATACGGCGACCCAGACGTTGTATCGTCGTGCATATGACGGTCTGCTACTCTGATGTCTTTCAACCAAGGAGTCGAAGGAAGCTCTTAAGGAAGCGCATGATGGAACCAGTGATGCGCACCACCCCGGTCCCAAACTCTGCGATCGACTCAGAAGAATGTGATATTATTGACTAACCATGGTCAAGGACGCAGTTGACTACGCCCGACGATGTCACACGTGTCAAGTACATGAAAATTATATGCACCAGCCCCTGGAACATTTGTACCCTTTCGCTACTTCATGACCATTTGAGACATGGGGAATGAACATTATCGATCCTATTTTCCCACCGTCGGTTAAAGGTGACCATTTCACCCCGCCGATTACTGATTACTTCTCCAAGTGGGCTGAAGCTATTCCACTTAAAGAAGTGAAGACGAGTAATGTTGTCGCATTCATCAAACACCACATTATCTATCGATATAGTGTTCCGAGGCGAATCGTGCATGGCAACGGCGCTCAGTTTGTCAGTAACGCTTTCATCAAATTCTGCGGGAAGTTCAGAATTGAAGACGTCTCATTACGACATACAATCCCACTGCAAACGAATTGGCTGAGACCTTCAACAAGACAATCATAAAGATTTTATCGAAGCTCGTGAAAACTAACAAACGAGACCGGGATGACAAACTTAGCGACCTTTTTTATTCATCATTCAAATTCTTCATGAAATTTATTTATTTTTAATTCTAAGAGCCAACCCCCTTATTAGGTTATTGAAGTATTCCTCCTTTGACTTACTTCACAGTTTTTCATGAATTATATTTTTATGTTTATTTAATTTACCAAGAGAGATTAGATCTAATTCCTTATGAGTGCATTACAATTAAAAGGAGACACTAATATGTATTAGTATACTCTCAATAAACACAACAAATCAAAAAATTTCATCAATATACACACTCAAGTCCAGAATTTACAAGTATATTTCGTTAGAAGCAGTTAGGACTTATGTAGCTACAACTACATCCAAATTATTATTTAATTGTTGAATCGTGTGCAGTTATAATTCTAAAAAATTACAGCAAAAGCAAAATAACTTAAAAATGGAAGAGTTGTTGCGTTTAGATTGAAATGTGTAATAACAACTGAACTTGGAACAACACGATGTTTGCTAATGTGTCTATAACTCCAATTACTCATAATTTGTTGCAAAACCGAAATAGCACAAAAGTAGAATAGTTCCTGTTCCATTCATATTGAGGAGTATTATAACAACAAAAGCTGGAACAACATGATGATGCTAATTTATTTGTAACTCCAATTAGTCATAACCAAAAACACATGTACTTGTAACTCACCTTGCTTTTCTTCTCCAGTTATCTCCTTCAACTCAACAAGTAGAATGGTAGGCATCACAACATAGTAAAAAAGATTGAGTCTGATTATAAAATCCAAGCATACCAATTTGAGCAATTACCTTGCAGAGGCTGATACATTGACTCATTGTTGAATATACAACAATCAGATCTTCACACAATTTGTCAGCCTCTAAACCGGGCTCCCTTACTGAATGCTAGCATTATTGCACGTGCAAATGCACATGCAACCGACATTAACACTTATTATGCTAATTTTATTTTAAAAGATCATTTTAATATCCCAAAGCATCATAGATATTTCGAAGATCTTTTTACGATATTTTTTTGGGTAATTAATATGGGATATTTCATCTTTTTATTTGAAATTGGCTATGACATCTATTTCAATTTGAGTTATCAAATTGATTAATGACATAATTTTCCTAGATATGTCATTAAGCATATTCTTTTTTCATATTTCATCTTCAGACTATTTTATTTTAATTATTTTAAGCTAAATATTTAGAAAGATAACTGTGCAATAGATAACTGTGAGATCATACATGGCTTAAAAAGCACTTACAATCTTGACGCTAGATAATGGAAATCACATTACTATCTGCATAGATCACTGGTAAAGAAATCTATGAAGTATTTAGATACAAGTTTCATTTGTGTGACTAAGTTGGCGTAGGATAGAAGTTTATGTAGTGAGAACTAGCTGAACTAATTCATTTTCTAGACCGAGCTATTCACCATAGCAAATTAGTAAATGTTGTAAACTTAAAAAGGTAATTTCTTTCTTTCGGTAGATATAGTTGTCCCATGCAATCCTTTGTGTTTGGTTTGATAGAATCAAATTTCTATCACTACATAGAATTAGGAAATATTCTGTAAGAGAACTTTCAATGGATGAAGAATGTAAGCATAAAGAAAGAGAAATAAAGTTTGCCTTATTACTTGACATCACATGTAGTTGATCATCAAGGAATACTGATCAGTTAATTATTTTTAAAGCTACATTTACTGGTGATAAAACTATGGAATGCTTGAAAGAAAAATAAAAATATATGGCAGAGTAAAGATGGCTGTAGCTATAATAGGACAAATAGAGAATTAATTATAAACAGTGGTTCATATGTGACAATAAGAGTGAGTAAATTGGCTATTTTCTCCCACACTTTGCATATAATGTATATCTCAACAATATACTTGATATGGAAATTCCTAGTTTCATATACGTGTGCTTTCTGGTTATTTCCTCCCCATCCTTTTCACCCAGATGTTATCCTAAATTACTGACCTTTGATAATCCTAATATGCTAAAAAAGATTGATAAAAAATATGGTCTAAAAGCAAGAATGTGTTCTTACCTTTAGTGAAAATGTCCCCAAATAATTGCATTTTATAAATGCTTGGCATGCGAAGAATACTGCTCATGTCACTCTCCCAAGTCTGGACCCTTGAGATTTCAATGTCAAATTTCGACTTGATTGTAGAAGAACTCCTCAAACTTCGACATAGAGACTCCAGAAATATCATCATTCAAATTTCTCAACATGAAATAAATCTCACTGTGCTGAGGGTGAGAAAAATCTCCAATACTAAATACATGAACACTATCACCAATTTCAATCCAACTACACCCCGTCCTCTTCTTCATTCTCCCATTCTTTATCTTCGTTCGCAGCCCAGCCATCTCTCTCCACTGACCACTCTCTGCATACATATTCGACATCATAACATGATATCCAGTAGTTTCACTAGTATCACTACATTCATTCATTTGTCTTGCTGCAATTTCCATGAATTTTGCATCAGAATGAATCCTGCAAGCACTAATGAAAGCTCCCCATATATCTTTACTTGGCTCTATAGGCATACTCATTATGAATTCATAGGCTCCTTTCAAGAGTCCAGCTCTACCGAACATATCAACCATACAAGCATAATGTTCATAAGTTATCAAGATTTTATAATCATCAACCATTAAATTGAAAACCCCGAGTCCTTCACTCACCATACCTCGATGGCTACAAGCTGAAATTACAGCAGTAAATGTTATGTCACTCGGTTGAACACCGGAATCAATCATCTTAGCTAAGAGGGAGAGGGACTCTTTGCAATCTCCATTCATTCCATATCCAACAATCATAGCATTCCATAAACCTGTATCTCTATCCTTAGACCGATCAAAGAGGCAACGAGCTAATGATAATTTACCACATTTAGCATACATGTCGACCAAAGAACTGATAACAAATAAATCCAATTCAAGCCCATTTCTAATCACATAAGCATGAGCTTCAAGACCCGGTTTCAGGACTGCCCTTTGAGCAAATGATGCAAGAATGGAAGATAATATGACATACCCTAGCTTTACACCATCCCATTGCATTAACTTCATATAGTGTAATGCTTCGTTATAAAGCCCATTTCGAGCAAGCCCAGATATCAGAACATTCCACGTGACAACACCCGCCTTCAAACCGGAATCTCTCATCCCGCAAAAAATCTTAAGAGCATCAGCATAAGCTCCTGATCTTACTAACCCATCAATCATAGCAGCCCAAGCAAAATCATCCCTTTTCGGCATTAAATCAAACATGTTGTGAGCATAATCTAGACATCCACATTTCAAGTAAAACTGCAACAAATCAGTATCCAATCTCAAATCTGACTCAGACCCACAAACTAAAACATGGGCATGAACAACTTTCCCCACCCTTTCCAACTTCAAAGCCACACAAGCCTTAATAACAATGCTGAAGGTTACATAGTCCGGCGATACCCATTCATCGGATAACAGAGAAGAGTAGAACCAAAACACTGATTGGTACTGTTTTATATCCATGAGGGCTTTTAAGAGGTGATTGTACGTGTGAGTTGCTCTCTTAGGCAAAAGATCAAACAGGATGCGGGCGTGTTTTGGGCTGCGGAGGGAAGCATAGGAGGTAATGAGGCGGCAAGCAAGAACTGATTTTGAGGAGAACCCATTGGTTATGATGAGGGCGTGGATCTGGAGGAGGTGAGGGATTGAGGCTGGGGTCGGGGTTAGAGATTCGAGGAGGGTTTCGTATGGAGCGGGAGAGGAGGAGGTCAGCGTTCTAGTGATTTGGCGGCGGAAGGAAACAATAATAGCTTTTCTCATAGCAGAGCATCATGCACGTGAGAGGAGAATTAGGCTTTGTTTTTTGGTGCCAGCTTTTGATGAAGTATGCAAAGGTTCTAATCTTTATGTTGTATTAAATTATTAACGGTTTTTCTATAGAGTGCCCTTGGGCACTCTATAAGAGAGGAGAGAGAGAGAGAGAGAGAAATGAATGAGGAGGGGGCCCCCTGATTTGCATTGGGATCCTCTCTTCATTCATTTCTCTCTATCTCTCTCCTCTCTTATAGAGTGCCCAAGAGCACTCTATAGAAAAACCGAATTATTAATGATGCATCTTGGAAACACCAAACATTAGAGGAAAATGATACAAACACACTCTCAGGCACACCCTCAGTCACGCTCCCTCTCTTTGCTACAGTGCACTGGGCATCACATGAGATTTTTAAAAAAATCTCATGTGAGACCCGGTGCACTGTAGCAAAGAGAGGGAGTGCGCTTGGGAGTGTGCCTGGGAGTGTGCATGTAGTGCCTCTATATTGAGATAGTACAATCCCCATTAGAACATCTCACGGGTGTGCGTGGATTAGAACAACCTTCTTGCATGTGCATTGATTCAACGGTCAACATGTCTATGGTGTGCTTCTAAATCAGGGATATTTCGTTCTTCATAAGCAATTTTGACAATGATGTCGCTGAATTTGTTGAGCATTTTCTTTCACACACAAAATTTATGGAACCAAGCATGTTTCGAGACGTACAAGTTTTTTTTTTTGGATTCTAGCAGAGATTAACAACTGATAAGGTAATTACATAAAAAAAAAAAAAAATCTTTTTGCTACTTCAAATCCAATCTAAACGGAGCTCACATGTGGGCAGGCTATGCTGATCCTTTCAAAGGGGTAAATTCAGCTCCCAAAGATCTCCTATTTTGCCGTTGAGCTGAGCAGACTGTTCTAATGGGATTTATATTCACTTTTCCGTAGCAATCCTATAATTTTGGATAGAAAATAACTATGGTTTGTTATAACACATAAAATATCAAAAAATATGGAAATGGTCTGGGGCTTTCGAGTTTTTGGCGTCATCATTTCTCTGAAAAAAAGGATATCATGAAGGGTGTGCAAATAATTTAAGGAAAGTGCTTTTCTCGTATCCCCCCACAAATCGGTATCTTAAAATAATTTCTTCAAAGTATTTGAAATTTATACTTACTAGGTTCATAAGGAGAATTTACTCTTCTAAAGAAACTGGATTCTTTGCATGTGATAATGATATATACTGCAAACGAAACGATAAGAGGCGGTTTGGTTGCTTTTGTTTATCGCAAAAGAGAGGAAAATGATATTAACGTGGAGTTCTCACATTCAATTATACCCCCGCGTACTACACTCATTCTTAATTTGCACTCACAAAAAAATTTATAACTATCAACTAGATAGTTAATGGTTGTGAATATGTATTGGTCCATCCACTACTTCTTAGATAGTGGAGAGGATCTGAATCCTTCAGATAGAATTTGGATCCTCTCCACTACAAAAAAATAGTGGAGATGCCACTGCTTTTAATCTCAATAGTTGATTACTTAGTAGACGGTTATGATACAATTTAAATGTAACACTCCCCATACCCCTCGTATTGCACTCATTCCTAATTTGCACTCACCTCCATTCAGTTGATGGGCCCGCAAACATTCATAGGATTTTTGGCAAACTCTCAGCCATCAACGGATTTGATAAGCCTTTATCGACTACCGTTTGAGTCGGGCTAGCATGTGAATTATTTGAATCCGTTTCACATGTAACGTTATGCTAAGAGAATGAACTATCTTAGGCTTGATGCTATGATTTTGAATACATAGGCTTTGTCATTTTCACAGGAAAAGACTAACTGACAGTATGTGTTAGATGCAAACTTATCTCTATTTAAGGATCGAGATAAAGTCCCCCAGACGTGGGTTATGGTGTCTTTTTTACAGAGAAAGACTAACCGGCAACGCGTGTTACGCGTAGACTTATCTCTAATTAGGGATCGGGATAAAGCCCCCCAGACATGGATTCTAGTGTCTTTTTCACGGCAAAAGACTAACCGGCAACGCGTGTTAGGCGTAGGCTTTGTTGCTGTTTCTTCATGTTTTATGTTTTCACTTGAAACACTGAAAGAAAATTGAAAATGCCAGAGGTGTGATGTTAACTTGACAGGTTTGTGGACCTATCGCTCTATTGAAGAGAGTCGATAAGTTGATTTTATCAGAGGTGTGATATTAACGTGACAAGAAGAATATTGCGATTAGGGTAATTTTGAGGACCTATTGCTCTATTGGGGAGAGTTGATAAGTGGATTTTATCAGAGGTGTAGGATTAACGTGACAAGAATTTGTTACGATCGGAGCAACCTTGAGGACCTATCGCTCTATTGACGAGAGTCGACAAGTTAATTGTCAGAGGTGTGATATTAACGTGACAGGAATTTGTTACGATTGGAGCAACTTTGTGGACTTATCATCCTATTGAAGAGGATTGATAAGTGGATTTTATCAGAGCTTTGGTGTTAACATGACGAGTTTTTGTTGCGATCGGAGTAACTTTGTGGACTTATCATCCTATTAAAGAGGATTGATAAGTTGATTTGTCAGAGGTGTGATATTAACGTGATAGGAATTTGTTACGATTGGAGCAACTTTATGGACTTATCATCCTATTAAAGAGGATTGATAAGTTGATTTATCAGAGGTGTGATATTAACATGACATGAATTTGTATTTGTGACTTGCACAAGATTTTAGGAATTAGCATCTCGTTGGGGAAACTTGCTAAGTGAGCTTGTCACCAGAAGCGATGAATTTTGATACTTATGATTTGAATAAGATTTTGAAGACTTAGTGTCTTGCTGGGGAAGATTACGATTTGAGCAATTTTGAGGACCTATCATCCTATTAACAAGGATTGATAAGTTGATTGTCAGAGGTATGTTGTTAACGTGACAAATTAGGAGTGATACAAACTGAATTCATATTCCGTAGGAGTGATGATTGTCCGAAGTATAATGTTAACTCAACGAAATAAAAAAATTGTTACTCTTAATCCAGTGGATTCCAAGTAACCAACCCTCAGTTTTGATTAAGACTTAGCAGAAGAAGAAAAAGAGGGATAGACATCGCTTATTGCTTTGTTAGCCACTATCCACCAAGTCTGAATAGAGGCCCATCACCTGGTAGGCCACTATTTGACGAGTTTGACTATCAGAGGTAACTGTTAACGTGATAGTTTTGGTAGACCCACCATCTTACTTGAAGAGGATTGGTGAGGGATTTAGAGAAAATGGACTATCAGAGATGATCATTAACGTGATAGTTTTGGTGGACCCGTCATCCTACTTGAAGAGGATTGGTGGGGGAATTTAGAAAAAATGGACTATCAGAGGTGATCATTAACGTGATAGTTTGGTGGAGCCACCATCCTACTTGAAGAGGATTGGTGGGGGAATTTGGAGAAAATAGACTATCAGAGGTGATCATTAACGTGATAGTTTTGGTGGACCCGCCATCTTACTTAAAGAGGATTGGTAGGAAAATTTGGAGGAAATGGACTATCAGAGGTAACTGTGAACGTGATAGTTTTGGTGGACTTCGTGGTTGACAGAGGTATTCTAGTGAACATGACAACTTAAAAAATTTATTACTCATAATCCAATCCAATGAACTACAAATAAACCAACCCCCAGTCTTGAATAAGTGCAGGGGGAAAAAGTGGTAGACAAGGCACATCGCCTAGTGGGTCATTATCTAACGAGTTTGACTATCAGAGGTAATTGTTAACGTGATAGTTTTGGTGGAGCCCCCATCCTACTAAAGAGGACTGGTTTCAGTGACCGTAGTATCTTCCCCTTCTGACTGATAAGATTAGGCTTGGTCCGATTGCTCAGGTTGATCCTGCCTACTTTGTTCTTCAGCTTTGATCCTGGCAATAATTTTTTGAGCTTGTTCGCCTTGAGAGATTAGTTATCTCTAGAAACGGTATTCTGTAACCCTCATTTATGCTAGAAGGTCGGTCTGCAAGTTGTATCGACAGTTCTCCACTAAAGTAGACTGTGTCATACCCGTCGGACACTGCAGAGCCATGTTTTGAAACCTTTTGATGAAGGCTTTGATGACCTCCCTCTTTTTCTGCTTAGTGGCGAGAAGGGTATAGATGGAGACTTTTGTATCCTCTTCAAAGAATCTTGATAGGAAGAGTCTCTCTAGATCTGCCCACTTTTGGATACATCCAGTAGGTAGTTTTCTGAACCATTCAAAGGCAACTTCTTTGAGGGTGCTGATGAACAATCGAGCCAGTATGGCATTGTTTGATATCACATTCCCAGTCTGTGATTTGAAATAATAGATATGTTGATTCGGTGATCTCGTACCATCAAAAGTTTGTAGCGTCGGGACTTTGAACTTTGGAGGATAAGGGGCTAAATCCTATTCGGCAGGATAGAACCTAACAACTCCCTCTTCTTGGAGCTCGCTTCTGTTAGCAATGGCATTGAGGTGAGCTTCCAATTCTTTCATTTTAGCCGATTGAGGATTCTGCTCATTTTCGGTCTCTCTTCTTTCATCCGAGGAAGATTCTAGGTTGTGGGCTTCTTGGTCAGAAGCAGCATCATCAACCACTTTTCCCTTTCCTTTGCTTGTGTGAAGTCGGGATGAAGACACTTTTTCTCTCCCGGAAGATTCTTACCTAGGTGGTGAATCTGTCTTCCGAGATTTGGCATTGTCTGCGACGATTTGAGTCAACAGGGTTAGGAGTTCATTGATGGTCTTCTACTGTGATTTGAGCATGGCGTCTTGCTCAGCAATCCTCTTTGAAAGATCTTCAGAATGTTCTGCCATGTGGGCGAAGCTCTCATGCCTAACAAAAGAGCTTGATGATTGGGACTCCGCAGTGGCTGAGTGTTCATCATCAGAATTAGTTCCTCTGGCTAACCTCCGATAGTTGATAGGGGGAATGGCTCATGTTCGCGTCCGAGTGCGTTGGTAGATTCCTTCAAACTCGTTAGCG